TCTTAAGAACAAAAAATACTGCCCATTTTGAACTTGGTCTCGTTTTTAAAGTCGGAAGATTTCTACTTTTTTTTAGTATATTTTGAAAAAAATCTAAGATGTCGAAATTTGAGAAGAAACCATTTTTATTTTGTTTTTCAAACATTTTAAATAAATTTTAACTTTTTGAAAAAGCTGACTTTATAAACTTAAAGGGCGTAAAAAGATCTTTTAAAACCACTATTTACTTCTTAAAATCGGAGCAATTTACTAAAATTTATCGATGTTTAAAGTTGGACGTGACGAACCAAATGATAAAACTTTGAAAATTTAGTTGGATCACTTCATACAGAATGCCCCATATATATATATATGAGAAAACACATAGTTGTAAGAAAAAATATGTAATTTGCAACATGCAACTGCATACTTTTTTTTAAACCAATGTGTTTTCTTTATACCAATTCATTTGTCTCGTTATTTTATGCATAAAAGTATTAAGGTAACATTCTCAAAAACTGAATGTTTTACAAGATATTTAATATTTTATGTCAAAATACTGTAATTTACAAGCCTCATAACTCGAAAAGTACTTAATGAAAAATAACTTCATTATAGTGTTTTGAAAAGCTCTTGACACCAGCTATTAGATTTTGGAATCAAAAACAGAATGTTCCATTTAAAAAAACAAAGTTGACCTCCATATGACCTTGGCATGTACACTCTAGGTTAAACCAATGTCATCATCGGATGTCTCCCTCCAAACCCAACAACTTTTGTCTGGGTCATTTTCTTTGAAAATCACTTCCTTCAAAGTTATTCGGGGTGCCCACTTAAAATGGGACATCCTGTATTGTAGGGATGAAAATGACAATAGACACAGGTTTTTAGGAATATATATATATATATCTTTAATCGTTCGCAGGGTACTAGGATCTTTCTTCGACTGACTTTGCGCTCGTCGAGAGTCTTTGTTATATACGCGTGCATCAAAGTTTCCGCCGAATCTAATAATAATCACTATCAACAACCGATAGCTAACATAATAGTCCTTTATAATATGCCGACAACGAAAACAACTCGCGCGGTAGACTTTCGTGTGGCGTTTGTATCTCTTTTCAAAAGAAAATCCTACAGCTCGTCCATCTTAACGCAATGACCGTCTCGGTCATATAAGGTAAATGTCCCTATTTGTGACCATGTAAGATTTTCATATGAGTTAATAAGAAAGAAAAGTACTTTAGAGTAATTTAAATAAAAAACAATTATACCGAACTCAAGATTAATCATTTTTGTATCGAAAAATCTTTTACTCGAACTCTAAATATAATTTAATAAACTTATTAAAAAAAAAATTGCAGACTATGTAAATGTACGCACTAGTGACCGCATGATTTAAATTTGGCCTTATTAGTAACCGCCATCTGTCCCGGTTAGTAACCGGTGCATCAGATCGAATGTACCGGTTATTAACCGGTGCGTTAGATCGCATGTACCGGTCATTAACCGGTGCGTCAAATTGAATGTACCGGTTATTAACCATTTAGTGACTGGCAGATTAATTTTCTTGAGTCTGGTCACAAATAAAGACATGCGTGTTTTATTGTTCCTATTTGTAATGTTCGCTTATATATTCAAAACTACTAACCTTTTTCGAAATATACTAATAGTACAACATTTATTAATCATTTACTGTGATACTTACACAAAATTGTTCTTCAATATTTCTTTTTAACGACGTAAACAAAGCTGTCGCTGTATTGTGACAAGCACTTCACCTACTAACGTGTCAACCAACTTGCACTCGATTGCCACTGCGATGGCGACACTAGCACCTTATTTCATATTTTTACGAATATTTATTGATCAAATATCACGAAACCATATCAAATTGTAGCTTATTAATCGCCAAACATAATAAATATTCTTTTCAAGGATGAATTACTTAAAACTTCTAATTATTTTAATAAAAATCCACGAGTGGTCACAAATAGAGACATGGTCACAAATAAGGACATTTACCTTATGTACTTAATTCTAGATTATAAACTAAACGTAAACTAGAGGTTACATACGCTTACAATTATTCTTTACATTATAATGGACAAACTTAGGACTAATCGCGTATCTAGGCTTTCATTCGGTCGGTAGGCACTATACCATTGTACGGTGTCTGTGTAACTTGGAAGCCGGAAATATCAACTACGACATAGCGATCCGTATCTAAAACTAGGCGTACAATATAGGGCGCATTTAACTTAGGAATCAGTTTTTTATTAGTTCTAATATTGGTATTCACTATCATTTTATAATTGCCAATATCATATGTTGTTGCTTTCTTACGAGATCGATCGTAAGCCTTCTCGCTCGCAGCCTGATTTTTCATAATTCCGTAATCTTATTGCTGAAGAAACATCGCCCACCGTGCTATTCGCGGATTGACAATTTGTTTACTGAGGGTAAGGCGAAAACTATCGCAATGTGTGATGATTTTAAATTTAATACCTAACAAGTACACATAAAATCTTTTAATCGCGTATACGACTACAGCTAAGCACTTTAGCTCGAAGCTATGGTATTTTGATTCGGCGGACGTCGTCCGATGGCTAAAATATGCTACCGGCCTAAACTGTCCTCCATCTTGTCTTTGCAACAAGATAGCGCCAAACCCGCTTGCATCACAATGCAATTCTGTCGTCACGGTAGGGCAATAAATAGCTAATATTGGCTTATTGGACAAATGAGCTTTCAACATCTCATACGCGTTATTTTCTTCCGCACCGAATTTAAACACGGCGTTTTTCTTCAACAATTCGTATAAAGGTTTAACTACAATTGAGAATCTTGAAATAAACCTTCGGAAATAGCTTGGAAGTCCTATGAAACGCTGAACTTCTTTTGTATTACGCGAAATGGAATAATTAATAACAGATTCGACATTTTCCGTACTCGGTTGAATACCGTCTTCGCTAATTAAATAGCCAAGATATGTAATCTGGTTGCGTAAAAATAAACATTTGTCTGTAGGAATCTGAGTTTATGCTTCTGTGCGATTTTAAAAACTTCTCGCAAAATATCAAGATGTTCCTTCATTTTCTCGGTGGCTACAAGAATATTATCCATGTATATTAAAACTTTACCTTTTATTGAAACCGTGTCAGCTTTTCGGGCGCGGTATAGCTCGCCGGAATCCAGGATCGTTCGGTTGGAGGTACGCCAAGAAGAACTCGAGTTTGTGAGAGATGATAATAAATTAATGTGTTTATTGAAAGAATAAGCTTAATGACTGTGTGTGCATGCGATGTGTGATTGGTACAAATGTAGTATGCAAATTGTATGATTGCGGTGCGAAATTTGTATAAATGTACTGTGTATACAAATGCGTGAGTGAATAAAGGCGACGTATGATTGGCACAAATGTAGTATGCAAAGTGTATAATTGCTGGAAGATATAACGGTGATGTATGATTCGTTTATGCGTGACGTGAGCGTCTTGGTGCGATCGGCGGAACGATTAGCGCAGGCGCGTACGATCGAGTCGTAACGGTTGGTACGACGGAGCGCCTTTCGGCGGGTGCGTTCGTAGAAGTGTCGCGAGTCCGTTCGATAGCCGATCGATACGGGTCGCTCGGCGGCGCGGATTGGTTGACGCGGTTTTGCCTGCCGGATGGATTTTAACTTGAAATCCCGGCGCACGGAAACGCGATATTAGGATTGGGAAGCCGAATACGCTCGGCGGGTACACGAGAACGCTCGTATCAGAGGCTTGAAGCCGAGTACGCTCGGCGGGAGTACGAGAACGCTCATACGAAGGCGGATTCAGAGCAGCGATCCGGCTGGGTACATGGGAATGCCCGTGCACGAAGATCGGTGCCTGGAGGAACCGAGTACGCTCGGCAGGAGTACGAGAACGCTTGTACGCAAAGGAAAGATTACCGAGAACGCTCGGCGGTACATGAGAACGCTCGTGTGTCTGGAAAAAGGCATAGAAGCCGAGTGTGCTCGGCGGACTACAAGAACGCTCGCAGAAGGATGTTCGCTGTCTAGCAACGAACAGGATCTGGTGAATAGACGTACAGCCGGGCCTCTTTTATACCCGGCTGGCGGCCGATTGACTTCGGATCGGTAAGCATCGGCGGTTTCGGCGGCGGGCCCCCACTAAACGGAATTTCGGAACGGTCGGATGTGGAGGTCCGTTCGGCGATTGACCGCCGTTGTTTATGTCAAAGTTTTATCGGCGCTCGATGCGCCCTTGGTGGGCTACGGACGATGGACGGTCCATAGCCGATCCATGCAGCTTGCGGGCTGCACCGTTACACCATTATCATAGGCTTATCTATAGTTAAATCTAATCTTGTAGTCGTATCGATATTTAAATCTAACCCGTCAAACAATCGGTCGGCGCAATCTATATGCATGATTTGATCGATGAAATCATTCGCGTTTTTCGATGAGTCGGTCTGGTTCTGCAAAATTTTAAGTGTTTGTTCAATTACTACCTTTACCGCCGGATCGGAAGTAAAATCTCTGCCTAATAACGCAGTACCGTTTATCGTCCTATCTGGCACAACGAAAAATTGAATCCTGATATCAACGTTGTTTACTTTAATGTCTTTTTCGAAAATACCTAATATTTCGATTTGAATCATTGATGCCATTAAATCGGAAGTCATCTTTCGCGACGGGAGTGCGACAATTAACAGGCACGTAGTCCGGTTTGATTAAGCTTATCGGTGACCTGGTATCGATAATCACTGTACAAGAAAATAGGTCCGTATTACCTTTGTTATGCAAAACAGTATAAGATACGGGTACCGTAAATGGCTCGATTCCGACAGACGGTTGAGTGAGATTCATTTCAACCGACGCCTTACTTGATTCTTCCGCCGAGTCACTAGCTCGATCGTCCACAACTTTGTTCGTAGCACCACGCGGTTTCGTACAATTTGCCATACGATGTCCCTTCTCCTTGCAGTTGAAACACCTCAATCCTCTCGACGTTAGGTTCAGTTCGGTACGCTCAGATGTAGCCAGTTTCGTCTCTTTCTTAGGCCTCTGCTGGCTGGTTCCCACGGAATTTCGTTCGGTTTTCATCTGGCTTCTCAAAGTAACGTTCTCGAACGCTTCTACTAAGTCAGCCGCATCTTTGAATCGTTGTAGCCTTGCTTGGTCACGTAACCATGGATCGGGTACTCCGTCGATAACTGTTACGTGACGCTTTTCGAGCGCCGTCACAAGGGCGATAGCCCGGCCGAGGGAGCAAAGAGTCCTGGTGTTGCTCCTCGCGTGGAGACAGCAACCCGCGAGACTCCACAATCTTTGCGCGTTGTTTGTATTGTCATTCCCGTTTTATGTCGTTAATATCGTTTTTTAAGTTGTAAGGCGAGACCCCGTGCGGGCGGCGTTGCGTGTTTTGTGCCTCAGGGCGAAGATGCAGCATCGCCAGGAAGACCGGACGCCGGGGGATCATCGACGGGTGTCACGCGTTAGTGACCCACAGCAAAAGGTCAGGTACCGCGATTCCGTCGCCTCCGCCATCCAAGCCCTATCTAACTCCGCTCTGGTTTAGCCAAAATCAAAGAAGCGCAGAGACACGCAGCAGCGGACCTTGCCGGCTGCAGACGGCTTCGAGGCCCGAGATGCTGCACTCGGAAGGACC